CCTTTGCCTTCTTTTATACCAGACCCCAACTACAACAACAGTAACAACAAAAAAACCCCAAATTTCACCAAATAAAATCCCCTTGAACCCCTAGATGTAGTATCTGAAGAAATAATAGGGCTAGGGGTAGCCAACCTGGCCGTTGGTTTCTCTAGCCAATTTGAAGCCTGTTGAGGGAGGGGGAGGCTCCAGTTCCAGCCTTGCTGGTGTAGTGTTTGTGGGAGGCGGTTCCGCGGTGGTGAATCAGCAGGAGGGATCCGAGTGGGCGATGGTATTGCAACAGGGGGTGTCGGTGATGCTTTGGGAGGAGGTGCAGTCGTGCAGATGGAGGCGGTGGAGATGAAATAGGAGGTAGTGAACTGATAGTGGGAGGAGGTGATGGCGGTGGCAAAGCCGCAAAGCAAGCAGTGATGAAGGGGAAGGAGGCGATTAGAGGCTCTGCGAAAATGGAGGAAGTGATCTAGGGTTGTTGTTGGCTGCCAGTTAATCTACTATCTACTTCTACTATATACTAATAAGAGCCCACTTCTACTATATACTAATAAGAGCCCAAGAGAGTTAGGCCTATAATGGGTAGAAAAAATGGCGGTTAAATTTTTTAATCAAATGAATGGCTCAGATTGATCAGATTTTAATTTTTCCTTAAGATTTCCTTAATGAATATGATTATCCGTTAACTTTTCCGTTAAATATTATCTTTTCCGTTAATTTCTGTTAGTTCATTTATAACTATGGTTAAATATTCATGCTAAAACTGTTACTCTAGTAAGAGTAATTCTTCTGTGTCACACATGGAATCTGCAATAGATTAGTGTAGCAAACGTGGTATATAAGTTTACATGCAACTAAATAATCGCAAACACAAGTGTTTTAGTTGCATAGTAGCTCCATAACCGCAAACGAGATAGATATATGTTTAAATTTCATGCCTAAGAAACACATACACATCTAGCCCCCAAAGTGAATGAGATCAGACAAGTTACTTTTTAAATTGTAAGAAAAATACCCTTCACAGGCTTAGCTTTAACTACACTAATAAATCTAACTGCAAGTTTTCTACCTTATTTCCGCCCAAGTAGCAGGTAGTTAGTTTACAGGTAATCTACCAAATAAGAATAGTAGAAAAAAACAAATAAGAATATGATATATTAACAGTTTAAAATCATATCAACAGAAGTATGGTTCTGAACTTTGTCAAATAAATTGAGCAGCAGGGCTAGACTTTTGGAGTGGGTATAAGTACTGTTTCAAAAGCAAGCTAGTCGCTGAGATATGATGAGTATAAGAAATGAAAAACACATACTAACAGCTAGTCATTCTGGTTGATTAATTAAACTCAGAGATGATAGAGTTCCTACATTTCCTATAACTGCAATAGCTTCAAGCCTTCAATTACAAAGAATAAGCCTTTAAAAAAAAAAATACAAAGAATAAGACACTTTTGCAACTTGCAAGACAACATATATTTTATTAAAATTTAAACAACATGAAACATACTTCAACTTGCAGTTCATCCCGACACTGAGTTATTTTGGACTGTTGAAACAGTACACTAATAAAGGATGTACCTTTACCATTTTTTAGTTATTATACTTGTAAGGAATTTGATGGATACCTGCACCATTATATACATAACACAAGTTCTAGAGTTAAGCTACTAACACTTGCTTTTAGTAACACTTGCTTTTAGAGTTAAGCTGCTAACACTTGCACCATTTATTATATTGCTTTTAGTACACTAGAAGTTGAAGACCAACACTGCATTTGCAACATACTAGCAAAAAAAACGTAGAATTAACCCGCGGAAAATCTGTCGCAAATTCGTCGTAAATTTTTGCACGGAAATTTACCGCTAAAATTAGCTACGTTGTTAACGACGGAAATATTCCGTTGTGAAATCCATCACAAATCCGTCGCTAAATGTTCATGTAATAAAAAAATGAAACTTCGTCACTACGTTGTCGCTAACTCCGTCACTATTTTGGCGCTTTTTTGTAGTGGTTAACGTTCGTTTACCTTAACAAACGAACACTTACCGAACACGAACATGAGTAGTTTGCCGAAAGCTCTGTTCACTAACACCCCGTCTACCAATTAAAGGTTTGCATTTGGTAGGTTTGGTCCATAACCAACCCAAAATCAAAATAACTGACTGATTTGAATATACAATGACGATAAAAAACAACAGCAATATTTTAAATAACCAACCTATCATCATGAAAGAATTCCAAATATGAATAAACTAAAGATATGAAATAGACACCATACATATCATCATCCATCTAAAAATAAACACAATAACTATATGTCAACTTTGTTTGCTAAAAATCTCAATGCATCAAATAGCAGTTAAAGATAACAAAATAAATTGCTGGAAGATGGCACCTTTGGAACCAACAGAGCTGAAAAAACATGCCCAATAATCATATTGGGAAAATTCTGAAAATAGCCAAAACAAGGTTCTATTTGCAGCCTAAACAGTTAAAACCTAGTGAATAACTGATCGGTTAGAAACTAAGGAGGACGACTAAAGTATGCAGAAAAATTATAGTCCTAAACACAATTTCTTTTCCTGATAAGTTAGTACTTTGCATTAAAAACATAGCCAAGTCTCTTACCTAGGGTTAGCCGCACGCTGCTGCCGTCGCCGCCTACCGGAGAGCCGAGCTGTCAAAGTGGCGTTTGGCGTAGAGTCGAATTCGAAGACGTGAACTCGCGAAGTGGCGGAACCGATGGAGCCGTAACTCTGCAAGTGCATTGGGAGATCGGACCGGCAACGAGCGTCATTGAAGATTATGATGGGCCTGAAAGTGATAGCCCATTTAGGATTTGTCATTGGTATCTATGGCCTATTAATTTCTCAAGTTTCCAAAATTACATTGTGCTCCCTATAGTTTATGAAAATTAGAATAAATGTCAAATTAGTCATTGAACTACACTCGATTATGCCCTTTGCTTTCTCCACTTCGCATCCGCTTAGGTTTCCTTCATTATGACTTTGATTGATAATGTAAACTATCACCTAAATTGACTGATAAACATTATTTTTATTGTTATTTTAATAAGATTTTTTAAATTCTTAGGCAATTTGTTTAATTAATTACAGACTTTTTTAATTAATTAATGTTATAATTAGCTTTGTTAATATTGTTTAATTTTGGGTTGTTTTTATTATTAAATTAAATTTGTTATTAAAAGTTGTATCGACTCCAATTTAATAAAATTATTTTTTCCTTCTATTGTTAATTGTGGGTAGGGATGGCAACGGGGCGGGGCGGGGCGGGGGCAAAGAGTATACTCTCCGTCCCCGTCCCCGTCCCCGCTACCCCGACCCAATTCCCGCCGCCGCGGAGAATTTGGCGGGGACAGGAAATCATCCCCTATCAACCTATAATCAAAGTCTCAAATTAATACAATTTTTAAAAATACAAAGGAAAAAATGAAATTCAAAGTCCTAATAGGGTTATTTTAAAAAGGAAAAAGTGTCAAATTGGCCCCCTAAGTCAAGCAGATAGTGCAATTGAGTCCCCTAAGTGAAAAAAGCTCCATTTAAATCCCCTAAACCTATAAAAAAGTTCAATTAGGTCCAAAGTTACCTGTTTGGCAGGTTAGTGTCTTCTAATGGTGACATGTGTCACTTTTTAATTTATTATTATTATTATTATTATTATTATTATTATTATTATTATTATTATTATTATTATTATTATTATTATTATTATTTTATTATTAGATTTTTAATTTTTTTTTTTTTAAAAAAAAAAAAGAAATTCTTCATACAGCCACCGGCACTATAGCAGCCGGTGGCTGTACGAGGAGAGACATGGCTGTGGCGACAGCCCTGGCTATCCGGCAGCCATGGCTGTCCTAAAATACGGCCATGGCTGTCTGAGACACATCTAAAAAAAATTTAAAACTTTTGAATTTTTTTTTTTTACTGCCATGGCACCCATCGCTATGTAAAAAAAATAAAATAAAATAAAAATATCTATCAATCCGTCAAGAAATGAGCATTAAGGAGAAAGGAGAAAGGTGGCGGTTCTGTCCGACAGTGATGTTGGTTGGAGTGGTCTCGAACTGTGCGCCGGAGCTGAAGCTTCTCCTCACCGCTCTCCCGCCGAAGCTAAGCATTAGAAGATGACAGCTCCTCCTTCTCTTCTCTATTATCAGTGAAATTTATCCCCGTGTCGCGAATCTTGAATAAATATTGATATGGATGAAGACAAAAATGGCTGTCTAATGAGACAGCCATGGCTGTCAAAAAAAAAATCAAATTTTTTGAATATTTTTTTAGATGGCCATGGCTATTTCAGACAGCCATGGCCATCATTTTTTACAGCGTCGTTGTCAAAAAAAAATTAAAAATTTTTGATTTTTTTTTACACGGTCATGGCTATCTGAGATAGCCATGGCCGTCTTTTAGGACAGCTATGGCTGCCGGGTAGCCACGACCATCATTTTTTACAGCCGTGGTTGTCGCCGGATAGCCATGGCTGTCCTTGAATGAGTACAGCCACTTTACCGTCGGTGGTGGTATGAAGAGTTAAAAATAATAATAATAATAATAATAATAATAATAATAATAATTAAAAGAGACACATGTCACCATTAGAAGACACTAACCTGCTAAACAGGTAACTTTGGACCTAATTGAACTTTTTTACAGGTTTAGGGGATTGAAATTGAGCTTTTTTACTTAGGGGACTCAATTGCACTATCCGCTTGACTTAGGGGGCCAATTTGACACTTTTTCCTTTTAAAAAATACGAGGGTTAAGAAGGGTTTGAATAATAGTTTAATACTGTCTAATTGTTTATGTTTTACAGTTTTAGATTTTAATTTTATAAATTAAATTAAGTAGATTTAAGGCGGTGGCTTCATGGCTATGAACAGTATGAAGTAAATCAGTAATCTAATAAAAGTATAAAACTAAATAACTATAATATATTTCCTAATTTCTAATATATATAATTTTATTTTATTTTTATTTTCGGGGACAGGGCGGGGTTGAAGAAGGAAAGACGGTTGGACTGAGCAGTATAAATGAGTTCAAAAGAAGACACCATCGCCCCAACCCTAAAGGCCCCCAGGCCCCCCACACCCCAGCCCGACAGAGCATATGGGAGGAGGCCCCCCACACCCCGGCCGGACCGGTGCGCCTTGTGCGCGTGCTCACTACGCACAAGGAGCCCCCCTCACTTTGAGAGGTTGCTTCCATAGTACCGCTGGTGAGACTCGATCCCTGGTCATTCTTCCAAAGTTTCACCTCTATGACCAGTTGAGCTACCCATGCAGGCACCATCTTTATTAATTGATTGTATTATTGGGTGGTCAACTTTAAAATAATTGATAAATTGAACTGAGTGAATTAGAGTAAAAATCATGCTTACTAATTCCCTGTTCTATAGGATAAAAAGATAAATAGTTTGGTTGTCTTATTGAACTATTTATTTTGGTTTATAAACCGATTATTCCGTAGTTTTTTTAGGCTAAATGGGTCTTAACTGTTTGAATAAGTATTTTAAATGCATGAATGGTTAATGCACATGAATTATTCTGGACGACATACATAGTTTTCATAATTAGTAAAAAACGAACCATTAATTGATTGGTAAAATTAGACTAATCTGTAAAATTAGTAGTGGTAATTGATTCATGTTCCTAATCTTTCATCTTTGGTTATCCGTTGTCTTATTCTATTTGTTTTTTTTTTTTTTTTTTTTAAATTATTTTACTTTCTTAAGCTATTATTTTACTAGTTTGGTTTCTTTTATCTTAGATTGATATTTGGTCTTGAATACTTTAAAATATTTCCTTCAATTATTTCAAGTTTACTTATTGCATTGTATCAATTTTCTATGAGTTCGATCATTGTTTGTCGCATGCTAAACAATAATTAATCAGTACACTTCTGATGATATTATTAAAATTGTCTAATATTGACAATTTTACCCCTCAAAAAATGACATCCAGCAATATTTGGTTGCCAATTTCTCCAGAAAAACCAATAATAATAATAATAATAATAATAATAATAATAATAATAATAATAATAATAATAATAATTATGCACCAAAATTGAAATATTAAAATTAATGCACCGAAATTAATAAGACCACAAAGTCGGGGACCAATGACTATTTATATTTACCATTTTTTATAGATGACTTTTAATTGGATCATACATGGTCCCTTGACTGATATTTATCAATTTTCATATTTACTTTCAATTTGACTATTAATTTTATTCCAGATTTGGTCATTCGGTAAGTAAGCGTTACATTTAAAGGTAAGAATGTAAAATAATAAAGGTCAATATAAAATGAATTATTTATAACCTAATTGAAAGTCGATAATAAAAATTAGTATATGTGAATAGTCAAAAGAACATTCATGCAATTAACTCTATTAATTCCTTGGAAACTTGGAGAGTCATTGGCGGCAAATTTTACTGTAAAACATGGTCCATGTAACAGTGTGGTCCATGAATTAATAATATTGTTCTATTTTTCAATTTTATTTTTCACACACACTAGTTTCATTATAACAATATCAGAGTATCATTTTAATTATAGTACAGTTTAATTTGACAATATACATTATTGCATGATCTCTATTTTGTAGTTTCATTTTCCACACATACTAAATTAATTATAGTAATATTAAAGTATTATTTTAATTACATTTTAAGTTCATTTGACAATATATATTATTGTATGACTCTGGATTTTAGTTTCATTAGCCACACACTAGTTTCATTATAACACTAAAGTATCATTTTAATTATACCATAAGTTTATTTGACAATTACATTGTTTGATGAACACTATTTTTTAATTTCATTTTTCACACACACTAGTTTCATTATAGTAACACTAAAGTATTATTTTAATTATACTATAGTTTCATTTGACGACCATATATATATGGTCCAGTGTATAGAAATTGCTCATTGGCCTATAGATTTTAACCAATCGTTATGTTGTGCATCCGTATGCACCATGCATGGTGCATACAGATGTCAAAACGACGTCGTTTTATTAAAAAACGCGCGTCTCTCCTTTAAAAAAAATTCAGGTTCGATTCCCAGCAACAACATCATATTGTTCATTCATTCTGGAATTCTAGTTCATAGATTATGGAATTATAGTTCATTGATTATGGAATTATAGTTCATCGATTATGGAATTGTAGTTCATTGATTATGGAATTTTAGTTTATAGATTATGGAATTTTAGTTCATTCATTCTGGAATTTTTAGTTCATAGATTAGATTATAGAATTATAGTTCATCAATTATGGAATTATAGTTCATCGATTATGGAATTATAGTTCATCGATTATGGAATTTTAATTCATATGTTATTGCTGGGAATCGAACCTAATTTTTTTTTTAAGAGGAGACGCGCATTTTATTAAAACAACATCGTTTTTGCATCTTTTAACTATTTAAGTCCAAATTCATCCAGTTTGGGCTAAAAGAAAAGAAGAATCTTCCTTATCAGTACAGTAACCGTTGGGAAAAGAGGACAAACAAATAAACAATATACATACCTCCTGTCAATTTGTCATCCTCTGAGACTCTGAAAAGCCTCACACTTTCAATTTCACACTCCAACACTACTACACTAGACACTGGATCCGCCATAGCTACAGTAGTTAATGCCTGTGTACTAACTTCTACAATCAAAATCTGTGCACTTTCTATACCCATTTCAAGCAGTGGTGCTCATTTTCAGGGTAATAATAAGACCCGAAAATGAATGCAGATCTGCAGCAGAAGAAGAAGAGGAAGGAGAATGAGAGCTCGAAGAGAAGCCCATTGCTAGATTTTAATAAAATCCCCAAATTCACGACCAAAAGAAGCAACACCTCTGCCGCTTCTTCTTCCTCCTCGTCGTCATCTATTGGGGCTTCAAAATCATGCCTTCGTGTTCTGCTATCTTCCAACAATTCGTCTTCCAAGAGTGCTCCCCGTAAAAAGCCCACATCTTTTTTCAGCACGAAGAGCGGAAATCTGAGGTCAAACTCCTCTAAAGAGAACGTTTTGCCCAGACCCATTTCTGAAAAATCCAAAAAGAAGGCACCCTCCTTCTACCAATGGCAGTCGGGGAAGAAACCCGTATCTAGAACTTATCAAAAATCCAAGATTTTACCTGATCCGTCCAATTCCGGGAAGAACCCGAGATCTGGGCCAGAGAGATTTGCTCTAAATCGGGAGGGTTTGAATTTGAAGCGAGCGGAGCCTAAAAACGGTTCAGGTAAGCAGCCAATCCAGCTTTTTAACTTGGATAATAGTGTTAGTAGTTTTGAGAATCACACTCCTGTTGGGAAATTAGCATCCGGGTCTGGTCTAGATTGTGGTAATAATTTTGTTGGTGAAGAAAATTTGGAAGAAGAATCCAATGGAAAAAGTAACCCTAGCATTGTTAAGACCCCTCCCATTGAAGCCTCATTGTCCCCTGAGATTCCCTATGGGTTGTCTGCAGTTCTGGCTTCAGCAAAAACTCCTTGTTATGGTGCTGGGCATGTTCTCTCAGGGGTCACCGATAAACGAAAATGCAGGCCCCGAGGGGTTCTTACTGTAGGGCCTGTTCTTGATTCCTCATTGAAGCGATGGAAAGCCGATGAGAGTAATAAGGAGAGTGTTAATAGCCGGGTGGTTTACAAGTCAAGGACTTCTTTTGTGCCTTTGCCTGCCGAGGCCTCAATGTGTTGGCTATCGTCTCCCTGTGGCGAAGGAGATGGCACCCGTAAGAGTGGTTCAGCTAGCCAATTCCCGGGGTTGATGGGCTCTGCCACTCTTGAGAAAAATGAGAGCTTTGTGATGGATAATTCTCCACATTCTACGAGCACGTTAAGCTGTGGTAATGTCATTCAGACCCCGAAGTCGGATTCAAGCTCAGCCCTAGGTTTTGGATTATCGTGGCTTAATGTAGATGAGCATCATAAGCAGCCTGGATTTGAATATGAACTCGATGAGGTTACAGAAATTCTTGGCAAAGCGAGGTTATCACCTCAGAATCAGATGCCAACTCACGATGCTCCTGATATGAGTTTCAAGTTTACTAATTCAACCTCGCCTTTCGGTTTCATTGGCATCGCTGAATGTCAGAAACGTAGGGATGCTGCAGCATCTTTGCTTTCCGATTCCTCATTTGGAAATGCATCTGAGTCTAACATGAGAATATCGTGGAGGGATGGATTGGTTGGTGTTAGTCGAACTATTGAGATGGATGAGTTAGATCACTGCAGGTGCCTGTCAGATGAAGAAAATGATCTTGTGAAAAGCGTGCTTAAATCTCCCGCATTACTTAAGGAGGAACCTCGCATTTATAAGAATGGGAAGGAAAAGTTGTCTCCACAAAGACCTAGTTCTTGTGCAGAGTCGATATTTACTGATGGTGGAGGCCTGGTTTCTTCTGCAGATTCGGATTGGACTCTTTGCTGCAAAAGTCAGCAGTTTCGGATTTGATTAATGCTTTGTGTTTATTCGAGTCCGTTCTTAGTATGGGCAAAGAAGTGGTAGCCCCCAAACATTTTTAAAAATTTTATATGTTTACATATATGGTGGTGAACTGGTAATATGTATAAATTATATAAGTATTTCCTAGTTGCTTCCCACCCAATATACTTCTATTAGGCTTTGGCCCCTCTTGGAATGCTTTGTAGCATTGATAGACAGTTGTATTGCTAATTTTCAACTTCTGTTATCAAACATCATCACTTGTGATATCTGTTTGATCTTCAGTTTAAGAGTTCATCCACCTTCTTCTCTACATTGTGTTCTGCCCTTTTTTCCTGATATCTCCAACTCCATTCTCCAATTGTTGAATGTAAACAAGTGGAAAGATAGAGATGGAAAACAGTAATGGGCGCGGAGGCTAAGGACTGAGTTAACTAGGCTTTGTGATCAAAGATTGTGGCAGGTGCTGTCGTGCTGGGAGGGAGATTTTGAGCATTGGCCGAGTTCAGCTCCTGCTCTATTCGAGATCACATAACCAAAGAACTCGGTTAAGCATGCTTGACTTACAGGATGACAAGAGTTTTAAGAAAGATATGGCAGCAACCAGATAACCAAAGAACTCCGTAGGATATGACAGCCAGAAGTAAGCATAGTTCAATGCTGAGATCCAAGAAACGGAAAATTGTTGCCCATACTGAAGACGCCCTACTCCTGCTATTTGAGATCACCTTTGGAAAAGCTAAATCTTTTGCAGGTGGCATCTGTTCATGATATGTGCTTGATTTACCTATAATTCTAACATTTTTATTGCAATATCATTCTGAGGATCTGGCCCAGGTGGTGGGTGCATTTGATAAGGAAGTCTTGCTTCTGTAATGGGCCTATCATTCCTTCCAAGCCAAGGGAAATCACAGTGCAGCTCTTTCTTTCTACAGATTTCCCTAAATAGATAAAAAATCATACTTTGGTATGGCCCATCTGGGCACTTTCATCTGTTGAAGCTTTATATAATTCCTTCAAGTTAATACCACATCTGGATTCTTTCAAGGTACACTAGGATTATGCCATTTTTTTATGCTAATCTCTCATTGGTTTGACCTGCAGATAAGAGTTGAGACTCGTGTAACATTAGGGGTGTTTGGTTGGATGGAAAACTTTAAATTTGGAGAAAATAGAATTTTTCTCCCCGTTTGGTTCATGGAAATTTTTTTTTTATAGGAAAATATTTTATTTAGGGCTCGTTTGGTTCGCGGAAAATATTTTAAGAGAAGTGGAATTGAAAACAATTACTAGGAAGATGAATTTCATTATTTGGTTGGTGGAAAAAGAATTATTGAGAATACTAATTCTATTGTTTGGTTAGATTTGGAATTGTAAGGAATAACGAGTATAAAGACATAGATGCCCCCTACAAATTAATAAAAGTAATATAATTAAAAAAGAAAATAATGGTAAAATAGGTAATCCATATCACTTTTTCTTCCCATCTCCCATGAAAAACAAAATCCTTGGTCCAACCAAGGATTTTGTTCTCCTCAAATTTGAGAATTCTATGAACCAATCACCAGAAAACAACATTTTCCTCTACTTTAAGGAAAATATTTTCCTTTGGAAAACATTTTCTATGAACCAAACATCCCCTTAATTTTGAGGAAAAACTTTCCCAAGGTGAGGGGTGATATTTTGTTTTCAATGAAATTTGGGAACAAGTATCACATGATAGGATTGTTTTGCCCTTAAAGAACATTCTGAACTATCTTAGATCAAAATGTGTATAATGATTTTTATTATATTATTATTATAATAAAATATATAATTATAATATTTTAAATTATGATATTGTATTTTATAAATAATAATATTTTAATTTAAAATCACTTATTTTTATTATCATTATCATTGTGTAGAGGTATTTTGGTCTTTATAGTCATTATTTCTTACTATTCTAACCCCAACCAAACAATGATATCAATATTCGCAGTAATTTTTTTTTACCAACCAAACAATAGAATTAATCTTCTTGTTATTTTTTTTCCTCAAATATTTTTTGCAAACTAAACAGGCTTAGTTAAGAATAGAGTTTGCAAGAGAAGCAAGGCAAGTATGCATTTGCATCCACCATGCTATATATTTAGTGATTGTGATATGTGAGCTAACATCTTTGAGGTGTTCTTTGATGCTTAAAATCTTTTGTGCAATAATACTTGATGGATCTCTTTAGTTAAATTATTATATGGCTCCCTTATTCGGTTGGGTCCTACATAGGGGTGTAAACGAGCCGAGCCGAGCCCGAGCCTGGGTATGCTCATGCTCGAGCTCGTTAATGATAGCACTGCTTGAGCTCGAGCTCGAGCTCGTTCGAACTCGTGAATTGATGCTCGAGCTCGAGCTCGGCAATTGTCGAGCTGCTCAAGCTCGAGCTCGAGCAGCTCGATTCTTCGAGCTCGAGTTTAGGTTAGAATTTGAGCTCAATTTTGATCTTGAATTTGACCTGTTTGATTTAAAATTTAAACTACTTTGTTTTATGACTTTTATCCATACATAATTATTAAACTATTTTAATTTTCCTCCCCTAATTATTATTTTTATATACTAAATATAATATAATTATATTATATATTATATATTATACAATATATTATAAGGCTCGCGAACGGCTCGTCGAGCTGCGAGCCTACAATACCTAAGCTCGGCTCGTGCTCGTTTAATCCACGAGCTGCTCGAGCTCGAGCCGAGCTCAATTTTGACCGAGTTCGAGCCGAGCGTTGATCGAACTGCTCACGAGCGACTCGTGAGCGGCTCGGCTCATTTACACCCCTAGTCCTACATAGGCGTTTATCACATTTGAACTAAATATTGATACTAGAAATCTATCGTGTTAAAATTGAATGTTATAGTAACAAGATACCCAATTGGATTAGGTGGTTGGTGAGAGATGCCTTATCATTAATGTCCACTCGTAGAAGTGGATTAGGTAAACAAGATGACCTAAAGGCACAAAGACTTGTATTGTTATTGAAAGAGAGAGGGCTTTAATCATATCGCGTGGTTTACTTGCTCCAAGAAGAATGGGAATTACAAAAATGGTAGAGCTATTGCAACATGTTTGGTTAGAGGGAGTTAGAATTTCATTCTCCACTTAATTTGGATGGAGGGAATTAAAATTTCATTTACATATAATTCTGAAGGCAAGCCTTGTTTCGTTAGAATTGTAAATACCTCATTTTCACGAAATTAGAATCTCATGTCTCTCTCTCCTAATATTTTCAATTCGGCTGTTTTTGAAAAGAAAAATAGAAGATACCTTAAAAACAAAATTACTCTTCTTTTTTCTAACCTAAAATTGATGTTTCATTTGCTTGCTATAATAAGTATGAACATTTTGATCTTTATATTACTTATTTCATTTCAATTCTCATGAATACCAAATACTGGAATTAAAATTCTCTGTAATTCTATTCATGCAAACGAAACACTGGAATTTAAATTTTAACTTTATTCGAACACTATACTTTTACTGAATTGCAATTCATTTCTCTCTAATTCTTTCCTTGCAACCAAATGCCCCAACTTGGAATTTAATGGTTGGATTTGGGTTGATGTGCCAAGTCCACTCAACGGGCTTTTTGTTAGTCTATTTTGATACCTCTAATATTATATATATAAACTTCCATGCAATTAGTGAAGTTTGAATCCTGCAGAGCAACTTGTATGGTATACGAGCAAGTTGACTGCCTCAACTTTAGAAAGATAGTAATGATACTAGATGAGAACTAAAAGTTTAGATTAATTAACGAGGGAGAATAATACATATTATATATACAGTACAAGAGTAGAATCCTAATATAACAAGTACAAGAATAGAATCCAGTCTAACACAATAACAGAGTTCTAATCCTAGTATAACAAGTACAAGAATAGAATCCAGTCTAACACAATAAAGGGCAATTTATAAAGATGTAGACATACACAATTTGAAGGGATCAAAGTATTATTATTACAAACAAGGGCTGCAAAAGATTGGTGGAGAGTATCTTTCTTGCTCCGGCCGGCCTCTCCAAGTCAAATACAAGCACTTGCCGTGTCATAACACTCCAATACCAAATAAATATTAGTAGAGCACTATATTCCCACCAAACCCACAATTCTTGAAACCATTCCTCCCCATCCAGCCTCTTCTTCTTCTTCTTCTTCTTCTTCTTCTTCTTCTTCTTCACCTGTTCAACCAAGAAATTAATAATGGAAGGTCTGATTCCACTGGTTTGCAGGAGCATCAAGAGGAGCAAAACTCGGCAGCAATACGAGTTTCTCTCTTCGGGGACTGCTCACACTTTCAACAATCAAGACTTTTACCAGCAGACTGGCGGCTACAATAACCATTCATCACCTGAGAACATGGCTGTGGAGGAGGGTAAAAGGCACCGGCGGCACAAGTCCCTCTGTGCCGAACATGGTGGTGGGTTTTCGCCCGATTTTGCCACTGCTAAGCCTGAAAAACTTGTTAGGTTCAGGAGCCACAGGATGTTCTCATGTGTATCTGGAGCATAAATGCATTACAGAAGCTAAGGCTTAGCTTGTTCAAGAAAGAAAAGTACATGGTGTGTGTTAATTTGTATGTAGTTTGCCTTGTGATTAGAGTTGCAATTTGGGATGAAACTTAAGTCATGCCCTCTCAAAACTGTTAGCATACATTGGAATAGTCCAGCAAGGAGAAATTTGTTATTGTTATTGTCCCATCTCATTAAGGTTCCTATGACTTATACAATTAAGTGAAATTTTGTTGAAAGTTTTTTTTTTTTTTTTTTTTTTTTCAACAGTGATATTTTTTTTTAAATACTAATAATTCTTTACAATTAATTAGTATGTGCTTTATACTTTATCAAGTCTATTTCAACCCAAAGAATCAATGTTCCATGGTTCAATCTTGTGACCACTCATTTGGTGTAGGAATGGTAATTGAAATCAAATCAAATACTTGGTAATAATATATAATTGATTTAAATAGAAGAAGTCTTTTTGTTTGACACTAAATAGGAATTAAAATGCCAACTAGCATGTATTATGATGATATCTCGATTACCATTTCAAATGGGTGGTTATATTCAAACCCTAGTGGGAGCTTAAATTTTTTGGGATGTTTGAGAAATTATAAAACAGATACTACTCCGTAAAATAAAATCTAAATTATTAAGTAATTACATACAATTAAAATAAATAAATATATAAAAAATATAATATATATATATATATATATATATATATATATATATATATATATATATATATGTGTGTGTGTGTGTGTGTGTGTGTGTGTGTGTGTGTGTGTGTGTGTGTATTGAAGTTCTATATTTAATGCATAGACAATGATCTTTTTATTTTTTTCTTTATTTTTTATTCCATTATTCAAAAGTAAGGAATAGATAAGGTAATGTGTTTTATAATTACTAAGGGTGTGTTTAGTTCGAACATGGGAATGAGAATCAAATATCTAATAATGGGAATGAATTTTAGTAAAAGTATTTTGCATGTTTGGTAGTAAAGTGAAGTTTGAATGATTACAAATATTGATGTTTGGTTATGTATGACCCTACAATCAAATAAAGGTTTTAAAAATTAAAAAAAAAAACAAAACAAAACAAAAACAAAAACAAAAGATCAAGACAATTGATTTTAAGAGTCACGATGAAATAAGTAGGGAATGCAGCGAAGAAGTTGATGAAGTGAGGAGAGACGAGTGACGAGGCAATGAGGAGATATAAAGCTAAATTAATGATTTAAATTAGGTAATGAATTTTTTTAGTTATAGAGGTAATTAAATCTTATACATGTGTTTTAAAAAGTTGTCAACCAAATAATGTCTAAACTTTCATTCTATTTGAATGTAATAGTACTATAGTAGGATAGCAAAAGTAGACAAACAATGTAATAGAATCAGTAGCATTAGGTTGAGAAAGTATATTTAAACAGATACTATAATGTAATAGAGTCAATAGCATTAGGTTGAGAAAGTATGTTTGAACATATACTACAATGTAATAGAGTCAGTAGTATTTATTAAAAAAAAAAAAAGAATAGCAAAAGTAGACAAACAATCAATATCAAATATCAAATCTCATAATAAAGTATAAAAATCCCCAACCAAACACAAGTATTTAACATTGTGTATCACTTTCATTTAAAAAGGACCAAAAACACTTCTTCATAGATAATTTAGGAATCAAATGGCCATTTCTCTAAAAGGTAAAACCTAGCAGAAAACCTTACAACAAGAACCAAAAGCTCCACTTCACAAATAAGACCGAATATCAATTTTGGTCCCCACGAGTATTAGCAAAATGATAGTTTTGATTCACATGTTTAATTCTTACCAATTTTCATCCACGATTATTGTTTTAGTATCAATTTTCATCCACGATTATTGTTTTAGTACCAATTTTCATCCACGACAATTGTTTTAGTCTCAAAATTATCACGCCGGTCACGTCTTCGTTTAAGACATACCGAAATATGAAATTATTAAGGGTATTTTCGTCCTGTTCAAATTAAGATCTCAATTTGAATATGAATAAAGGGATTTAAGCCTTAAGATCGATCTCAATTCGCAATTCTCCTCCTCAAATTAAGGTAGGATGAGGAAGAGAACTGCAAACTGAGATCGACCTTAGCACTTGAATCCCTTTATTCAGGCTCAATTTAGGATCTTAAGTTGAAAAAGACAAACATACCCTTAAAATTTTTAGATTTCGGCATGTCTTAAACGGAGGGGTTACTAGCATGATGATTTTGACACTAAAACAATAGTCGTGAATGGAAAATTAGTACTAAAACAATAGTAATGGATGAAAATTGGTAGGAATTAAACATGTAGACTAAAATTGTCATTTTGCTAATACTCGTGGGACTAAAATTGATATTTACTCAATAATTCAGAAATAAAAGATAAACATGCCTATAACTCAAAGGGGTCGTTTGGTTCAAGGAATGTTAGATTACCTTAGAGAATGTTAGATTCATGTGTTTAGTTAAAACTGAGGTATGTAATATAAACCTGTTTGGTTTAGGGGTTATCATTTATGTTATACTAATTTTTTTTACTTTAATACCCTTAACATATTTTTATGTATTTCAATAAACTAGCTTCAAAATTAAAATAAATTAATTAAATAAGACAATGGTAACAAATATAAGTACATGATTTAAAAATAATTAAAACTTGAAATTGAGAAACAAAATTAATTTATAATATAGCATGACGTAATAAGAAATAAAATAAAGGGAAAATGACATTTTTTCCCCCTATGTTATATACTTATAGCACTTTTTCCCCCTCAATTATTTATGTAAGCACATTAGCCCCTTCAATTATTTTAAAAGTGGTGGTTTTTCCCCTGATATATTAAATTGACATTTCTACCCTTATAATAAACATTTTATTTATTTTACTTCTCCAACAAATTATTGCGTATATGTAGCGATGGCCATGGTTTGGTTCGAACTGAACCGGACACTATAGTAATCGAATTAAAAGTTTTTGGTTATGATTCAGATCTAAAACTCAATATTTGGATTTCAATTTATTAAATTTATGAATTAAAAAAAACTGGATACTGAACCGTGAACCGGTGGTTTCGGATCCGGTTCGCGATTTTGAACCGTCTTTATTTTAAAATTTTATTTTTTAATTTTAAAATAGTCTAAATTCAACAAAAAATTTATTTTATTTTTTTCAGTTCGGAACATGAACCGGCCATTCCGGTTCGCGATTTTAATAAACTCTAAATATCGCGTTTTGATTCTAAATTGTAATTGCAATATTTTGGTTTGGTTGCTTTAGTATCTGTTTGGTTTGAACCAAATTATAATAATAATTTGTTGGAGAAGAAAAATAAATAAAATATTTATTTTAAATATTTATTTTAAAGGTAAATATGTCCATTTAACATTTCAGGAGGAAAAAGAACCACTTAAATAATTCAGGGAGAAAAATGCTATAAGTATATAACTTAGGGAGAAAAAATGTCATTTTCCCTAAAATAAATATACAATTACAAAAATAACTAAATATTATATGTATAATAAGCTAACATAAAATATATATTTCATAATAATTATAATTAAAATGGCAAAATAGCAAATGTTCATGGAAATGTTAGATTACCTAAGATTTGTAAGGGAATCACATTCATATCCTTACATCATCTTCATTAGTTACCTCCCAGCCGCAGCGACGGAGATGTTCACAATCAGCCACGCCGCAGAGCAGTAGAAAGCCAAAAATTAATTTTAATTTTTTTTTGTTTCTTAATGCGGAATAAACTTAATTTCCAGCAGCCCAGACATACAATTGCATACAGATATTCAAATACGTATCTCAATTATACAGTGTATACAACATATTCAAATTTTATATATATGCAATTAAACAAACTAGGCAAGAGATTATTTATGGCAACTGATACCAACTGTTAGACTAAATATATCACATGCATCATATAATATGTGATAACAGGACCGACTAACCTCCAGCCATAGTTCTTGAGACAGTTGAGTGATCTGGACTGCTGCAGAGATAACGAGTATTTTGTCTCTCACTTTACTCAGCTCTCTCTAGATGGTGTATGAGGTATGTAGTGTGAGCAGTGAGAGGACTAGTGACCTTATATAACCACTGGGCATCATTGTAATTGATTGTCTTTAGGTCTCCTAAAGACTAACTAGACTCTTAATCATAATGGTAGTCTAGCTATTAGAGTATTAGTGTTGCACCACATATCAAACACTGAATATTATCATAACTTATCCTAATGTTATAATAATAGTAACGGATAAAACGTTACAGAGGATATATTACATTCCTTAGGGAAAGTTGCATTCCCTTAGGAAAGTAAGATAACATGAATCAAACATGGGAATGTGACATTCCAAAGCTCACATTCCCTTGGTTATGTTATATAACTTGAACCAAACACCCCCAAAAGGTATAACCCGGACCAAATATTTTCCCCAAGTATAACTGTCAAAGAAAAATCTTGGGTAGGAATATTTCATTTTCATTATATTTCATCTTAGAACAAATTGCAAGAGGATGGGGATGGGAGATGGTTACCAAACACTTAGAATATAGGAAGCTGAAATGGTCAACAGCCAAACTAACCAAACAAACAGAAGGCAGGGCTGCTAGCTCATTCCAAATCAAAATACAGAACAAGTCAGCCTGAGGCATCCAGAAGAAATCTGGACGACGAATTCTGCAGAAGAATCGAAATGCTGGTAATTGATTAATGCAAGCTAAAGAACTAGAGATGAATATGCAGAGTCTCAAATATCAAAGAGTGGCGAGTCTACAATTTTATGGACTATTTTGTTAAGGAGTTGAGGCAGCATTCTCGACTTCTTCAATTCGGTCCATATGTTTTTTTTTTGGTGACGAGGGAAACCCGCAACCCACTACTCGAGGGTGTACACTAGGTAAACTCCGTCTTGTGACCTTAGCCGGCAAATGACCACAAGAAAGTAAAACCAGCCTAGGTTGGCCATAGCTGATCGGC